AATGAGAATACATATCGTAAACACTTATGTTGATATATACCATTGTATATATGAAAGGTCTGGATTTCAGTTTAATGGCCCCATAATATGAAGTATCCTATTGTACAACCGCTAAGAAATGTCGGCAGCGCCATTATTTCGATAGTATTATAGTGCCAGGAGTACTATGATATGAACCGTACTTCTGTGTGTGAAATACTGATATTCCACGAGTGTCATTATTTGAGGAGCAATATACCGTCTAGTATACGAATATTGCAGCAGAACTATTGGCTGCACAGTCGGGATGTTTATCGATTTACAATGATGATGATTACAGAAGTTGTCGTAGTACCGTTATATAAATGTACTAATGCTTGAGCTGTGGTAATATGTGTTGTGTATTATTGTCTGAATAGCGTGCTTACATAGAAAGTATGCATAATCAGAAATCATATCTTGCGAGTATACTCATATGTGCGTAGTACTATCATTTAGGAAGCGAGGTAATGCGCGAAATATAAGTGGCCCTGGAATACGAAGATCTGAGGGGTCTGAACTTCAGGGCCCTGGATTTCGGTTTGTATTATATGAGGAACCCTACTGTTTCGAACTCGTAGCAGTTCCTGAAGTATAATTATATTACGAGCGGTGCAATGCGTGAAGCTCCGAGACTTCAGCAGCACCATTTTATCAAGTGTAGAAATATCCTTAAATTACGGCTGTGTTAGAAGAACTTAGCTTCAAGTGTTGATATTCCCAGAGTACTATCATGTAGATATCCATACTGTATGCGAAGTATTCCTATGGGAGGAATAAGAATGCGGGAATGAATACTAATGTGGCCGCCGTACTATGATTTAAATAGTATTGAAATACAGGGGATACCATTATTTCAACCGTGTATGTGTGGCTCAGGAATAGTATTATATCAATGACACCAAGGGATGAAGTTGACAGATATACGTGCTGTAGTTTTATATAAAGAGTACAACTGTATGAGATGGTGGAACATGAAAATAGTGTCCATAGTTGTGAAGTGAAAGTCTGTACGGGCACTATTATTATATGGGCGTCGAGGGATTATACAAGTATTGTACGAACTAAATGATTTGAAGCTTCCAAAGCGCCTGGAGCCGATATATTTGAGGGGAAACCATATACAGGTCGTGATATCCTCTAAGAAAAATGAATATATGGAGAATGTCATTCTTTTGAGTCCAATGACATGCTGAATGGACTACAATGTGAAATGTGATGATGTTCCTGGTGAAGTGTTATCTGAGGAGTACCCTTGTGCCTGGAGTCCGCTTATTTGAGGAACCCATCGGTGTAAGAAGTAAGGATATCCTGCAGTGTCACTGTATATGAAACATACAGAGGTGCTTGTAGTACTCATATATGGAAGATAGTCACACCGTTATTGCATTGGTATTTCAGGAATGAAGGGACGCGCTGGATACCATTATCTGTACAATAATGGTGTGGATTTCCCTTCCTAGTAATGTGCCCGGATATAAGTATACTACTATTATGTGACGTATATAGTGGTGCCTGTACTAGTGTATGTGAAGGATTCTGGGTTTATGCTTTCATTACATAAACGGCCCTATTCAGTGAAGTCCATGAATATTCCAGTATAACTATTGTTTAGGGAGTACCATTATCTGTACTTTCTCAATGGTGACGGGTGTAGAAGTCCTCATACTACTGTTCTACAAAGGTACTAGTAGTGGATCTATATGGATCACTTGGAGTGCTATTATACAGGCGAAAGCATGATGTGTCAAGTGCTTTGCCTTTATGAGTAGGATTACCCTTGGAATACGATTTTTTGATAGAGTACGTTAATACAAGAAGT